TATGCTCCATATCCACCATATGTTCATCTTGCTTACTACCTTACAATCATAAATATTACACAACTCCTTTACCAGCCTTATTACCCAACCATGAGTGACATCTCCCAAGTTTTTATCAACCAACTTTTAAAGCACTCGTATGTGAGCTTAATTTTGTCAATACACCAACTTTAAGGCTTAATAATCAAGCAAAAGGTTTGAAAGATCCACGGACAACTAAGAAAGAGCCTGCATTGATCTTATCCTTATAACTTATATTGAGTTATTCTCAAAAATTAAGTCAAGAATGACCTAGTATCTCCATCTTTTTAGAACCATTAGAAGCCACCTTATCCCAAACAATACTATATTAAGTCACATGTGATTATCATAATGAATGTAGGTCACTTTTATAGAAACTTGCCCAGGTTTTAACCACAAGGTGCAAGTTTGATTCGAGCAGGTTCAGTGAGCTTCAATGAATCAAGGGAGTTGAATGTCACAAAAAAATCCTTTCCACATGTGATTATCATAATGGAATATAGGTCACTTTATAGAAACTTGCCCAGTTTTTAAGCATAAGGTGCAAAGTTTGATTCGAGCAGGTTCAGTGAGCTTCAATGAATCAGGGGAGTTGAATGTCACTAAAAACCCTTTGCCTAATCACCCAGAGGCATAATTTTGGGAAGGCTGATTAGATGCTTATCCATCTTAGGATTTTCTTTAAGATTATGTATCTCTTTTATGTACTTGAATTTTATTTTATTTTTCATCATTTTAAAAAAAATAGCAAATTTGATGCATTTTCATGACATTTAATTTTTCATGTGAATCATCGTTATATACTTTAACCTTTTCACATCTTTTTCCTTATCCATTCTTTGAATCCAAATAACAAATGTTTAGACAATCATGACAATAATTCAAGATTCGATTTTGAAAACATCATTTATAATGATATGATTGGTAAATTGAGATTGTTGACTGCTAAATAAAAAAAGATAAATCTGATGAAGAATTTCGCTTATTGAAAGGTGAAAGTGATGCAATACATGATCTTTACAATTGTTAATTCACAAGTCTATTCTTAGTTAATAAATGTTCTTCATTAAGAGTATTCATGTTTGAAATGATAAATAGCCATTTTTCTTCTACCTTTCACAAAAAGAGTAAAATTATCCTTTGCTACCCTATTTGAGCTTGTTAAACTTTTTTTTTTTATGGAACCCTAGCCAAAGATCATCCCAAACTAGGGACAAAGTTTGAGAAGCTTATTTATCCTTAGTGATTTCAAAAACAAAGCCCTTTTGTGCTCAAAATTTTCTTGAAAAATGATGTAACAAAAGAAAAAAAAAAGAAAAAAAATTTGATGGGGCAAAATATCCAGGTGCCCTACATGGAAGGAAATGATCCTTGGTTCTGGTTACCCTTCAAATATAGTTTAGGCTTATTTTATCTATTTCTTTCATAACCCTTCATCCTAGCCTATATTATGTCCCTTAAAAGTCCACTTTAATTGAATGTGAATACTCAAATTGAATAATCATGAGTTGAATTAAGGTAGATTTGTCATTTGGTTGTTTGGGATTTTAGTGTCATTGATGGACTAAAAGAAAAAGAAATAAAAAAGATAAAAGGAGATGTACAAAAAAATACAAAAACAAAAATGAAAAAAAGAAGACTTAAACTAAAAACTTGAAAGGGCCATTTAAGTAAAGATGAAAACTTAGGAAAATAGCTTCATTTGATGATCCTAAAAATTGGGATGATGATTCGTTGCAAGATAAAAAATATCAATAAAATGTGTTTGTGAAAAAGAATTCTGAGTTAGAATGTAAAATTGTCTGAACAATTATTATTTTGGATGTTGATATCCTATTTCAACAATTACAGCATTTTATTTTCATTTATCTTTGATTTGTTCTTGACCATACTTCTTTTATAATGAATGTCCATTCTTCTTGTTCTTTACCAAATGTACATCTTCTGAATAAATTGAAGAATGTATAATATTTGTCATGGTGATAAATAAATGAATGACAATAGCTGTAAAATGGTTTTTCATTATTTTAAAAGAAATCCAAGATGAAAAAAGTGAAAGAAGCTTGAGAAAATGATTTAAAAAGGGTAAATGAGGTGACCTAATGATGAACACAGCGATGGATTGGTTGATCTAATGTGTGAATTGGGACCAGATGAGAAAAATAATATGGAGCAATTGACAAAATTTGTTCTAAAAATTATTAATACTGATAAGTTAAGAAAGAATGATAAAGTCTTAAGAATCTTGTTATTACAATTAAAATTTCATGACATTAATTTAGTGACATTTGCATTACATACATTGTGTTTACATTGTATTTAAATCCTTGATAATTGCATTTGCACCATTATTGGGGTATGCATTTGCATCATTGTTGGGGCATGCATTTGCATCATTGTTGGACATTGGCATTTACAACATTTAGTAAGAATCTAAATTACGGCATTTGCATTGTTTAGAAGGCATTTGCATTATTATCATGACATTTGTTGAGTACAAAAATTTGACTTTGATTGGGAAATTTTTTTACTTTTAAATCATTAAATGGGGAAGATCTTTCATGATGGGATTTTTTATTGACAAACTTTCCAAACTTTCCAAACTTTTAAAGTTATAATGCCTTTGTTTAAAAAAGCTTTTCAAATAAGAATCTTTGAAATTTTGGATGTGAAACCCTAAAATTTTTATGATGAGAACCTTTGAAATTTTGGTTATGAAGTATTAAAGTTTTTGAATGTGAATTTTTGAAAATTTAAAAAATCTTTAAGTTTTTTGAAGGAAAATCTTTAACTTTTGGATGTGAAACCCTAAACTTTTTCAAATGAAAATTTTGGTTGTGAACTGTTAAATTTTTTATGTGAATCCTTGATTTTTTTCAAACATGAAACTTTAAATTTTGAATGTGAATCACTAAAAAAATCTTTTGAATATGAATATTCGATTCTTGTATGTGAATTACAATTTGTGAATCTTTATAATGATGAAAATTCTTGTGAACCTAAATTTTTTCTAAATTATTAAATTTTTGTGAATCTGAAAGTCTTGCTAAAATTTAAGCTCTTGAGAAATTGAAAAGCCTAAGAATCTTGCAATTCTTATTAATCTGAAAATTCTTGCAAATCTAAAATTCTTGCGAAAGTTTGAATTCTTGCAAATTTGAAAATCTTGTGAATATTTGAATTCTTACACATCATGAGAATCATTAGTTCTTACGAATCTGAACTTTCTATGAATCTTTCATCTAAAGTTTTTGTGAATTTGAAAGTTTTACGAATCTTTTAATTCTTACAAATTTGAAACTCTTACAAATTCTTGTGAATCTAAAGGTCTTGTGAATCTTTAAGTTCTTATAAAATTGAAAATCTTGCAAATTTGAAAATTCTTATGAATCTAAATTCTTGTAAATCTTCCATTCTTACGAATTTAAAAATCTTAATGAATCTGGAACTTTTGTGAAACTTGGAACCTTACGAATCTGGAATCACTATGAAAGTTGAAATCTTGTGAATATAGAATTTTTGCAAAATTTGGAATCTATGTGAATTTGGAACCTCTAAGAGTCGTGAATTTTTGCAACTTTTGAAATCTTTGCGAACCTTGGAATTCTTGCAAACCTTTACAAATCTTGACTTTTGGCGAATTTTGAAATCTTTACAAAACTTGGAATTCTTGCAGACCTTTGCAAATATTGACTTTTGGCAAATCTTAAAATCTTTGCAAATTTTTTGTGAAGGATATATTTTTTTCTCTAGGTTTTTGGTTTGACTCTTTTCCAGGGGGTTTTGGCACTCAAAAATTTTTAATGAAGAAGCCAGGAAGAGGTAGAACAATATACTTGAGATGGTGGCCATAAGAACGACAATGAAAAGATCTTGGGGTTTTAAAATTCACCACTTCAAGACTCGATTCTATAGAGTTTGAGGCATTTTCACGAAAAAAATAACGGTAACACCGGAAAGAGAAGAACAAGAAGAAAGCAACCGGTGTAATTTAAGCCTCAATGATGGTTGGCTGATGGTGGTCATATGGCATTGCTAGCATTAGAATTTGGAAACCTTTAAACTTTTCAACCATTGTTCATATGTTTGTAAAGAGAAGTAGAGAGAAAAAATTTTTTTAATGAGAGAGAAAATCTGTAAAATGAAGAGAAAAGCTTGAAAAAGTGATTTTATACAACACAAAAATGATGCCATTTTGGTATTAGAAGAATCGATTTTTTCCAACCTGCCTCGTAAATCCACGCATCAATCAATTTAAAAGATCCAAGCGTAATAGCCTGCACTAGCCCATGCACTATCTTAAACAAGCTTGGGCCCATTCGTGAACCCAAGTCATTAAGGCTTTTTTTAAGCATTAGATCAAATATCAATGGGCTATTCCAAGCTAAAATTTTTACACTTCACTTGACTGGACCAATAATTGGTAAAATTTTTGTTGATTTTTTAATTTGAGGGTAGAATGTTTTGAATATAAAAAATAAGAATAAAAAAAAGATGGTAAATTTTTCCCTAAAAATAATTTTAAAAATGTTTTGAGGAAACGTTGAAAGTATCAATTTTCCTTAAATAAAAAATATTCCAAAGAAAATGTTTTTAAGGAAAAGTTGAAATATCAATTTCCTTTAAATAAAATTTTCAAAAATGTTAGTAAGGAAATTTGCAATATTAATTTTTTCAAATAAAACAATATTTCAAAAAAATATTTTTAAGAAATAGTTAAAGTATCAATTTTCCTTAAATAAAAAGTATCTCAGAAATGTTTGAGAAAAAAGTTGAAAGTATCAATTTTTCCTTAGAATTTAAATTTTTAAATAAATATTCAATAATCCAACGGACAAAACCTCTATAAGAGAAATAATAATTTTTTTTGTATACTCTTTAGGTGGAGGGAATTATCTTAATTTTCTGTCAAAAATATTGGAGTCAATTAAGAATAATTCTCAATAATTAACATATTTGGTAGGATATTTTAAGACTCAATGGATAACACGAAAATCAAGCTGGTACCATCTTTTAATGAGCGTTGTAAAGGTGCAGTAACCTTTCTCAACACCGTAATCGTACTCTCAAAATAGTTTTTGGTAATAGATATTGAATCTACCATAGTCAAGCTTAAAAGTTCTCTTTAAAATTGAGAAAGATTCAGTTAAGTGGCCAATCACACCTGTACAAAAAAAAAGATTAGTAGCAACCCCTTAAGTCATATCTAGCTATAGGTCCACATATCTAGACGTTATAATACTATTCAAATATTCAAAATTTTTAGTAGTTAATATTGGCATATTATTCTTTTTCTCCTCATCATTATTCAGTATCTGTACTATATATAAAAAAATCACCAAAACTCAATTTCATGTGTACATAATGAATGTTATAAGAAAAAATTGAGGATAGATTGGGCATTTATGCCAAAAACTCTATAATCTTTTCTCCCTATTCCACACCAAAACTCTTATCAAAAAATATTCTTCACACCCCAAACTTCGTTCTCACCTTCAACAACACCGTACTTTGACTCCACTTTTACAACCATATTCTTTTTGTTTTTTTTGTTCTCATTTTTTGCCTTTTTTTCTCCTAGATGAAGAAATTCAACGTAGTTAACTAACAATTTGAGTTGTTTTGATATTGTTGTTTGTGTGCATGTTTGTTTG